TGCCGCCACTTTGAAGTAATGGATCTCGCCGAAATAGACTGTACGGAGGAAGCGCGGCGATTGCGTTAGGACACGCCTCGCCTTTGCGCTTAGAAAATTACACCTAATACTCGTATATTATAATACTCTTTAAAGTTATTCAAAAGTAGTAATATATCAGGAATGAAGAGACAGCTTACTCCTACAAGAAGAACTAAGATCCATACAATTATCTTAGCAACTGGAATTCAATGGAACTGGAACTCATGAATTTTACTCGGTTCAGTTCAGATTCTTTAAGTCTAGATTAGATCGGCTGGCAGGCGACGACGCAGGACAGACGACGCTGGCGCACTCTCGTGTCGGAGGCCAAGACCCACTTTGGGTCGCTGCGCCAACGCACTGAGTAAGTATATCTGGTAACCATCTAACACATTTAAACTACAATATTACAAATGTGTAATATAAACTAACTTGAAAAAGTTAACTTTCTCATTGAGTCACAGTTTAGTAAAAAATAATTTTAAGTAATTGGTACGGTGCGGATTATGACGACGTCATAATGTTAACATTGGTACATTTCAAATAGAAAGATACTGGGAGAAGTCTCCAGAGTACATCTACAACAATGTGCAGTAGCATATTTCATACGAAGTGATCCTTTTGTACTCGGATTTAGACTCTAAAGTTACGTAACAAGTATCGTAGAATTTGAAACAGTACCGTGATATATAGTACAAATTCGTGTTGTATAGTCGCGAGAGAATATAGTTCACAATAGATTCGGTATAGATTGAATCTTTGGTAGAGGAGACCTGAGCCGGCGCAAGAACAAAGGGGAAATGGAAAATGCGTGTCCCCAACTTTAGAATCGCATAGCTTCTGGAAGGAGGCGGTAATGCATGGATCAGATCTATAGCCACTAAATAAATGCCGTACGTGTACATGGAAATTTCAATCCATTACCTACCTATAATTACTGTAGACGATTCTACAAACTATTTCATTATCTCTTAGGTTTAAACTAACATTCTGTTAAACATGAATATAAGAATTCTTTAACCTTAAAGGATCCTCAACACAGTAAGAGCGTGCGCACACATTTGACAGTACCATACAAGTGTTAAGTCTCGCTTTGATTCCTATAAGCTTATATGGAGGTGCGCACACTCCTCGATTTTTAGTTGTGCAACTAAACAGTTGAATTGGCTGGGAAACAATCGACAATCGAACAACAGTTGTGTGTGTGATGAACAGTGCGATAATTTAGTCATAGGTCTGCGCATGCTCTTAATATTGAATTTAATTTGCAGTCTATGTTTAGAACCAGAGAATGAGAGAAACCAGATGTTTTTTAGACATTAAATTAATTTGATTATTAGAATCCTACGATATGCGTGTCAACTATGCGAGTGATTGTTAAACATCATAAATATTCAATTCAAATATATCTTCCATATAATAAAATGAATTAAATCAGTGAGTGAGGCTCCGGTCGCGAGTTCATTATCCAAATGGACTGGAGCTATTTGATCCACTTATGTGATTGCCTGCGAGCATTATCTCTCTTCCAGTGAATGGAAGCCATAAGTCTACATCGTAACTCTCTCGCTCCTTACAATATTGGTACATGCATTAAAATACGAATGCAAACGGATATTAAATTTATAAGTGTTGCTATTTGCAATCTTCTTGAACAGTTTTATACGGGGAAACTTTACGATTTATCTTAGGTACTTATGAATTTTAATGAAATTCTAAGAAACGTGTCACAGATAATTTTATATTTGAATCTATGTTCTTATAAATGTTAAAGAAATTGAAAATTTTCATTATTGAACATACTAACAAACTAGTGTTATTTTTGTTTAATTTCGTAAATTACACCCTCATTTAAAACTTTTTGATTAACATACATGTAGCCTACTAGCTGTTGCTTGCGGAATCCCCCGCGTGAAATTTTAAAAATAGAAAAAACATAGCCTATGTTACTTAGTTATAATATAGCCTTCTAATGGGGCAAGGAATCGGACCAGTAGTTTTTGTTATTCCAATATATACAAAAATCCAAATCTTTCCTCTTTTTAATATTAAAGATATTACTTTATTATTTCATTTATATCATGTAATAAAAGAAATTTACTACCCCCTATTTAAATAATAAAACAAATAGAGTAACGACGAACATTAATTCGGTATAGATACCGTAAATATAGCGGTCAAATATTTATTAAGACTGTATTTACATTCATTGTCTTGAATGATTCAAAGGAAATCAGTAGATACAAAATAATGGTCGGATCCAATCACTTAGCGTTGTGACTCCGGCTCGGTGACTTATATGAAGACATTTGTAAAACTACTCGCTTATTGTACTATACTTAGCTATATGAACTATCGACTGAGACCATAAACTTTTGTTAATCTACGGCCAAGCGAAATCGGAAATCATTTGTTTATGCTTGATTCTGGAAGACTTTAGACCTTTTTTTTGCGAATGAAATCACTAGAAAATATATATTCATGTTATTACTTCTCTATGAAATACATACGTGAGATAGAAATATGATTTTGTACAGGATTTATAACCCACGGGTGAAATAATTATTTTATAATTAAAATCAGAGGACTACGAAAATTAGCGCCCTCTTTCAAAATGATCTTACGTTTAAAAAACCTTTACATAATAATATAGATTACACAATTTTAAATTAATTGGTTTTTAAATAATCAAAAATAATCAAGAATGGAAACATTTAAGTGAATTCGTAAACATTTAATATGGTAATTAATGTTCATTTACTAAACCGGGCTTACTACTTGCTATTCTCTTTAATTAAAAGTTAACAAAGCCGACATCTAATTGGATGGTTTATCTACACGTTCCTGCAGAGGGTCGTCCACAAAAAAAAATATAAACACGTGGAATTATTAAAACAGTACCCTTAAGGTGAAATTAATTGGTTGTCAGATGCTATCTACATGGCCTCTATAAATAAAGACTTTTATTTACTTTACATTTTTCTACAAACTGTATGTTAAATGTCAAATAAAATAATTACTACACTACTACTTTGTATTTAATGAAATTTTTCAGATCCAAAGAACGAAATACTTTACATTCCAATCATGCATATTTGAAAATAATATTTATTGTTGGCTAACTAGAGCAATATTATGTAGGAAATAAGTATTTTACCTTTGTCTAAATTGTTGTATTCGAACACGAATAAGGCTCTATACTACAGAAAAGTATTATCACATGATCAACAGTCACCATTTTATATAAAAGAGGAGTCAAGAGTCCCTATAGAGTCCACTGCCAGCCCTCCTCAACACCCATAACATTTACAGTAACCACCTTATCCAGCGGTTTTTACCTCATTTTATGTAACCTTTACGACTTACTTCAATTTACTAACTAATTGCACAGTTTTCCTTTAACAACATAGATTGCATACAATAACGTCTACAGAGCTGCGGGCTCGTGATGGCTATTACTTACAACGCAATATCAAATTGCTTTCAATTTATTTCGCAATTGCCGTCTTTGAGTTTCGCTTTGTAGGGGCCTCTGACGTCGGTCCGAGCCAACAATAAAATGTATTCGTCTCCGGAATGTTTAATATGGGGAAAAGTTTAATAACGCGCCCGGGCCAGCCGGCCGGCGGTCAGCGCCTTGCCTGCCCACTGCTATAAATCAAATCTCTTACCTTCAGCGCTATGAGAAAAATCCTTATTACATTCGTATACGTTTTATTTGATCATTAGTGGAAATGAGCAAACTTAGACAAGCAACAACATACAATGAGACACGTGGTTAAACAATATGTTTATTAATTACAGTTTCATGTTAAGAGTTCTTTACTGGTATTTTTCGAAAACGATTCTTTTGTGAGTAATAAATATTGAAACACAGTTAAGAAAGAATCTCTAAGGAAAAGTCTTGAAAGGTGTCTGTAAAACACAACGTTGTAAGGACGGTTGAAGAAGTACGAATAAGGGTTCCCATGCCAACGGCGTAGAAGCCCTACGGCATCATCATTAGCAAACGGCACCTGCTAGGAGTGCAGGGTTGTCTCCTACTCTGATATACATGTTAACTACCGTAGTGCCTAACCACAAATACTTTCATAATACATCGATGCTTATGTTGCATTTTAAAATATCCATCCCTAAAGTAACCAGCAATGTAAACGTAACAAAGCAATTACTTTAGATTGTCATGCCAAGAGTTTGGTTGTAATAGGAAACGGTATGAGTTGTGGGCTCATCAAGACGCAACAGACGAAGCTCGCCGGCCCTGGAGGCCGACGCCGACACAATAGCTCCCTGACGTTAATTAAATGTTAACAAACGCCCTCGTCGTCGCTTAATTGGAACTGTTGCCTATTATCCTTACCTTCCGACGCGGAGAATGACTTCTAAGCTTAAGAACAGTACTACACAGTTTTTACTTGGAAATCTTCAAACTAAGTGGGGGTGCTTCTTTGTTTCAAGTGATGCTACCTGATTGTTAATTTGCTAGAAAAATTTCTTGATTTATGGAGCATGTAAAGCTGAAAAATAAGTAGTAAACAATAGAGATTACATGTGTCTGGAATAATTTGTGTTAAATAAGTGATAAGTATGTATTCGGGTTAGTTTGTATGTTTGGTTTCTGTACCCTCTATACTCGATAGTAATTCCAAATAATATCTAATTAAAATAACAGTATTTGACAAACCATTAAAAGCAGATTGCTAAACGGACCCTCAAACAGAAAATTGCGGTTATTTTCAAATATTACACCAGGAAAAATACACATATTTAATCCAATTAGAGTTCTTATTGATATTATCTTTTTCTTTAGAAAAACTGATCAAATAGAAGCAGTTTATTTGAATTTAAACTGCGTTTTTACATTTTTTTTTACTCTGTATTGTTTATGCATCCTCAAAGTTGTTTATACTCTGTCGGAGAACATGAGAACCATAGACACAAGCCATTTGCTTGTGTCAAATTCGTGTCAAAGTCAAATGTCAATATTTTCTTCGACTAGAAGCAAATAGAAAAGGCTCAAAAATTTCAAAAATAGAGTGAAACCTAAAAACTGTCAAAGTTTTATTTATAGAAAAATACTGAAATGAATTATGGCCCAATTTAGACCAGCTGGATTTTCTGATGAGGATACGGACAGTGATGATTATGGGTTCTATGAAAAGCCGGTAAGAAAATCAAAATTTTTTGAACCTATTCTTTTGAATAATAAATTATTTATTTATCTAATGACAAGCAAGATTCTGATACAAATATATTTTTATAAAGACCAAAAAGTATTATTCACGAAGGAATTGAAACCTAGATTATAATAGGTTCAAATTTAATAAAAACAAGTTAAATCTAGCTTTTTGTATCAATCCAAAAAGTATTTTGATTATTTATCTAATTAGTGAATTGCAAGGACAGATTCATTCACATTCCTATTTTTTAAACTAAAAGATTTTTCAGGTTAGAACCTATATTCCTGTTCAAAATGAAAAGAAGAAAATGGAAAACAGGTTACAAGATGCCATTTTGAATGGAAATCTAAATGAAGTAGAAGATATAATTACATATGGTATGTTCTTTTTAATGTTTATAAAACCTTGTGCACTGACTTCACATTGTGAATGCAATAAAGCCAGTCCTATGGTGAAGTTCTATTTAAGAATGAAATTAAATCAACCCCTGATCATTCCATCATTATCTCCCGGCCTCACTAATCTATCCTCCATAAACATGGTATTGGTACATAGAGTTTTATAAACTAAACAGTTTTGGTTTAATTTTTTACTGCCACTTGCCTGCTCATCGCTAGCCCAACATCACATAAATATAATACATATAATTTACTTATCTTATTACAAAATATGCGCTAGCCGTTGAGTTGCGGAAACTGTAGCTTCTCCTACTACTACTACTACTGTTTTATTTATATATTTTCTTCATTGGGGGGTTATTCAGTAATTTTGCAAAACAAAGTAACCAATAGAAATTATACCTTGTGCACATTAAAATCCATGTACATATTTTGGAGAGAGTAGGAATGAAGTATAAACATCCATCCATACATTCAAAGTATTGCAATTAATTAATAATTAATATTTTAATGGTAGATTTAATATGTAACCACTTTTATTCAAAATCATTACCAATTAAAAGGGTTTATGTAGGATAAGGAAATAACCTTTTCTCTGTACATATTATAATCACTTCATTAACATCATTCTCCAACCAAATAGTATACCTAAAAAAATGTGCTAAATTGCTAGATACAATATGTACTTTATAGATTTGATAAATTGATATGTTTACCCTTTTTGAAAACAATGGTAACAGTGTGATGTGTTAAACAATAATTATCATATCTCTTTACAATCTTTTAATCAAATGAAAATACTAATTTTCTGTTGGGAATAAAAGAATATTGCTGTTTTTACATCTACATACAAACGGCTTTATTTCTCCAATAGCATTCTCCAAGAAGATTAACTGAATTACAAAACTCATTCTTTATCCAAAGAGGATGTAATGGTTTTTAATTAAATTATTTGCGATAGCACAAAAAGTTAACGAAGCCAACCGGTACGAGGTGGTACGTTTGCAAAGCATGCATTGCGTCGCATTCGTACGGATATTTTCACGCTCAAACGACTCCCGCGCCGCGTCTCCACCTTACTCGTAATTAAATCAATTACCATAACAAAGCCAAATAACTTTGCGAACGTTCAAGTATTTCACTGAACACTTCTTTAAGTGAAAACAATGTCGTAATAGCGAACGTTTAAATTACCTGTTCGATTAAATAAAAGAATCGTTGCAGGCTTAAAAGGCAGATAATACGGTAGGACGTCGTGTGAAAATCAACCTCCGCTAGTTGGCATGCATTCACTATTGTTTCTTCTTGATAGAAAAAAATTAAGTCTTGATCTACTAGACTAATGCACGGTAAAAATTTTATAGATGTTAAAAAATGCCCGCGACTCTATCCTCCCGAAAATAATCAAGAATTTGTAGAATACGTGTTGTTTCAGACTCTATGCAAACATTCATCCATCTAAACATTCCCATTTATAATATTAGTAAAATTATTTATATTGGAACTGTAGTTTCGCCTACAGCAGTCGGAGTTTACTTTTCGGCGAGTTAAATGTTTGATAATAAAGAAATTACATAATGGTTTTGTATATTTTTTATATTTTTACGTAATAAACAAATGCTAGTGTTTGTTCAAGTTCCGAAATGTCTATTGACTTTGCTGATAGGGTATAAATTTCTCTATCGTGCATTATCAGTACGGCGGCATAAAATACTTATCCTATTTACATGGAAAAGCACTTAATGTGTTGCCAGAACTTTCCATTACACTCGCAACGCAATTAACAATAGGAACCAATAATAGCTGTTCAAATATAATTCTGACCATTGGGATAATGATGAATTATTCTAAGCCCCATTTGTACAGTCAGGGAAAATACCGGTGTTCTACCCTAAAAGCAATCGTTTGAACATTTTTACATGAGACCCGGAACAAAAATCAATACAACGCAGCCTATAAATGGGTCTAACAATAAAAAGTCGGTCTAGTGATACAGGGCTAGTTTCTTTTTATTATTATCCCATTGATAACATTGCTAATTAGTTATGTATAGGAAGTGACGCAATTTGTCTCGTTACAATGAACAAAGCAATTTTTCCTAAGTGGAACACCGCGGGTGGCCGCGACTGTACATACGTTAGATATATACAAACTCAGACAGGGCATTGATTCCATTGCTTTAAATACTTTTATCTCATGCTTTTTTTCAGATTTACATAATGGTGTGAATGTGAAATTGGACAGTGGTTGGACGCCCTTGATGCATGCTTGCTTTCACGCACAAGAAGATATTGTCAAAATGTTACTGGAAAAAGGCGCCGATCCTAACTTACATGCGGGTTTGTATTAATGACTCACAATTCTTATTTTCACAAAGTTCGAAATAGTTACTATTAAATTAAAACTGGCGCGAAACGCCGATTAATTTATGAAAATTGGTGTACTAACGCCGAAAAAGCCTTGCCTGTAGGAAGATAAGAATTTAATCACTCCAAGTAAATCAATTAGAACTTCTCAGCAAAAGATCGTCTTCAAGAACAATTAGTTTAAAGATATCCATTGCCATGATTATCTTTACAGATTCAATGACATCAGCGATGGCTGCGTGTTCAAATAGTGGTGCGAATGATAGCACTATTTACAATATCATATCGCTTCTTATTGAAAAAGGTTGCCTTCTAAACATCGGAGATAAATTCGGCCAGACGCCGCTTATGCGAGCTATCAGTAACGGACGCACTGCGGTTGTACAGCTATTGTTGGACAAGAATGTTAATGTGGAAATGAGAGATCAACAAGGATGGACGGTAAGACAAATTAGTTTGAAAGTCTCACGTATAGCAAAATACTGAAACGAATCTTAGAAACTGCGCTTAAGCACTGCTTACAATCTGAAAGATGCCAAATTTTAATCCAATCTTAAACTCCAGATTGGCTTTATAATTCAACGCTGTAATATGTTCAAATGTCGTTCCACTATTCCGCGGTTTGATTTTTGTTTTTCTTCATAACACTCACTTGATGTTTTAAACTTCAAGCATCATTGCTTGCATTACCCTTAATGGAACATGTAACTTGCACATCAGGTAGAAGTTACGTATATTTGTTATGTGTATTCGAAAATATTATTCGATTTTCGTAATAGAACGATGAGTTAGAGATCTCTAGAACAATCTAGATGGCATTGCATTCAAAACTTTTAAAACGGGACTTTTAAAATAGTACTCACCAGCTCGATAAATTACCTCACCTCCTGCAGGTGCCCTGTCTCAGTCAGTGTCAATCGACTCAAAGTCTGGTTCAGTCAAGTCTAT